ATGACTCCCAATTTATCCCTTATTTCGGGACAATTCAATGATTTTGAGGAAAAGCACCGAAAGCAGAGAAATGATCTGATTTCATGAAAATATTTGCAACCAGTTAACTAATCATAAACAATTTTCATAGTTATAACTCACTTCATAACATCGGAAGTAATTAATGGTAAATAACTTCCAACACGAAAATCCCACTCTTTTCTCAGCCATTCTCTCAATCATTGTCATCAGCTATGCATTCAATTCATACATCAATTGGTTATAAAATTATAATTAATTTTTACAATAAATACCTTAATCTTGGTGTGAATGGCATGAGCTTTGTTTTGGGCTCTATTTGGACCCGTTTTCTCGTTAGTCATGTTTATTCACTTCAAAGATGTATTACTAACACAAAAGAGATATTATATGCGACTGAATATACTTACCGTTAAACTTAAACATTAAATAAGTTTAGTTACATTAAAACTAAATGTATATTATGTCGACCTTCATTATAACGAGCATTTCTATGGATACAAAAATGTTATAACACCAATTTTGTGAAAACAATACAAAACTTATACTTATATGTGTTGTTAAAATGAATTTGTATAATTTTATTCAATTATATATGAAATTAATATGAAATTTGTAATTTATTAATTTAGATATTTACTTTAATTTTACAGTAATTTAATTATAATAAGATTTTAAATAATGTAAATACTATATTGTATACTAGTAACGAATTTACAATTTTAAAAATAATTTTATATCTTATATAATATTAAACAAACATAACTGCACTCGTCATTGATGAGTTATAAATATCGATCTAACATTAATTATTTTATTTACATAAAATATATCAATCACATTCACGTTAAATAATTAATGATAATAATATTAAATTCGCACTACTATTATTACCTTTTACCTACTTTTCCAGATATTTCAACAATTTTGAGTAGTAATATACATAACATTGATATAATCTATTAAAAGAAATAAATATATTCTCATCACCAGTAAAAGTGTATTAAACAAATACCCTGATATTTAATAACTCACTTCATAGCACCTGAAATAGTTAACAGTGAATAACTGCCAACACGTGAATCCCACAGTCTTTTTAGCTGTCCTCTCAATCATAGCAATCAACTGAAATGAATTTAATTTCATTATAAATGTTAAATTAGTGTCAATTATACCTTCATTTTAATAGAAATCGATTTTTGATAAAAGTTTTGATTGAGTTTTCGGTCATATAAATATGAAACCATTAACTTATTTAAGACTTTATATGAATTGTTTGCTTCGGAGTTAACCGAAGAGGCCGTGAATATAACAAATAGGAAAATATATACAAAGATAATAAAAGTATAAACAGATATTATGTAAAAAATAACATTCATTTGTGTGAATAAAATCATCGATAAAATCAATACAACAACCGAACCAAACAATAGCCAAAATGCGAGCAAATATTTAGACCAATAAGAGGTGTTATATTCATCTATTTCTATATAAATCTTATCAACAATTCTGAGTGTATTATAAATAAGCAAATAATTGCGTGATTTAATAGTTTCCAAAATACGATTATTCATTGAAATAATTTTAAGTCTAATGTAGTAACAAATGATATAGAAATACACGAATTGATAGATCAGAAAATTCAATGAATAATAAGAGTATAGAGAATAGAGTAAAGAGTTTACAATACCATAGATTACTATCTGTTTGAGAGTACAGTTCAGAAGATATGATGAAAAACTAATGATAAAGTAAACCAAAGGTAT